ATCTTAGGTGTAAACTAGGTTTCCAAAGTATAATTGGGTCTAAGTATATAATTTTGGAAGTATTAATGTAGGCATATAAAACATCGAATTAGCTATATAATTTTATATGAAAATTTGAGAAATTTAATTTCATAGATGACTTATTGCCTTTCTAATTTTAGCTAAATTTTGCTCAGAAAAGGAGGTATGTCTTAGTCAAGACTAATTAAGTGCTGCATTAAGTGCTTCGTCTACCACAGGTGGTACGTAAGTGATTCATTTGTACTGTCAGTTGACATTATTCTTATATATATGATCCTGTAAAACAAATGAAAAATATCCAGCAATTTTTTTTAGTCAAGTGCAAAAAAAGAAGCCATTGAAGAAAAAACTCCTTACTTCCAAATGTGTTGATGAAACCTGAGGCAAAATTACGTTTATTTAAGTAGACATGCACAGTTTCTTTGTGAAGTAAATGATAAAAGAATGTGTTGTCTTTGTTTCACTATTGCAAAAAAAATGAGCCAACTAGATGTAAGGAAACACGTCTAAGGCAGTGCGTGAGGGAATCTACAGTCAGGTCCACTACTGAGAAGTTGAATTTTACAATTTTGATTTACACTGTGTTTGACAGCATACATGTTTTATCCAGTTACTCAAAAGCAATGCCTTTAATGCAATCATGCATTTTGCATCGTCTTGGATGATAAGGCAAAACTCGATTTTTTTACATATTGTATTTGTAATGAGTTATATGTGGGAGGGGGGAAGCCATCACTGATTTCACTCTACTGAATAAAAGTCTTGTAACTCGGGCACCTTGTTTCAGCATATTCATTCATTTTGTGTAACTTTTTTTCCTAGACCAGCATTTGTTGGTCTAAATAATTGTATTGATGACCACTATACATTTTGTAAAAGGCACTGTAAAGAAAAATAAAAAATGCGGTAAGCAAAAAGCTGTTACAGTAACAAAAAATATCATTTATGAAGGCACTCTAAATAGCTATTTGGAATGTTTCCAATAACCATGAAATAAATAAGGTATAAATTCTCCCAAAATAATGATAAGGTAAAAGTAAAAACTGTGTGAAACTTAGGTATTTATTCTAACAGTTATGGCCAATAATCTGTATGACAGTGAAAGTAATTAATCAAAAAAGTACTTCATGTGATTATATGAGTGATATGGACCTTGTATAGAACACACTGCAGTAGTTACATTATACCAAATATACAAATATGAGAATAAAAAATGTATAAGAAACCATAGATAATTAATCAGATGTGCTGTCCAAAACAAATTCAATAGCAGTGATTAAATAGTGGATCCTGTTCAAGATGAACTCGCCGTCTCCCAGAGTTGTATCATCTGCATAAGACGTAATAAGAGACTCCGTATTGTTTATAGTAATTCCATTTACTTCAGGGTCTGTCTTTACTGTGGCCGAGAAAAATTTTAAACAAAGAATAAAAAATATATACACCCCCTTTTTACCATAAAGAACTCCGAAAGATGGCCTTTATTTTGTATTGTAGAGGAGATATCAGTGTATAAGGTTTTAACCCACTGTATCATGGTGCGACCGATATTAAAGAAGGATAAAATCGATATTATTTTCATAACTTCAAGACCACCAGGTAAATGCTACTTTTTGACAAAGGGAGAATTCACATCGAGAAGAGCTGAGGTCTAATAAGACCGCGACCTAAATATGGTGGACCTACATGAAAGGGAAACCGCTGAATCCCGTAATGCTCTCCACACCTCTCACACGGCTCTCCATGTGTCGTCCCTCGACCGGTTGAATTTAATTAGTGTACCCCTGCAGGTCCTACGTGAAGTAATGCACGTCCTAATGGGACGTGCATTGCTAACATTTTAGTAACGCATGTCCTATATGGTTTATACCGAGAAATCACATGGATAAATAAATATAGATATATATATTAGTTTTAAAGATATAATAAACGTCTGCTTTATCTTACTAAAATTACATTTTATTTAAATATAGATCCCCGTACAACCAGTGTCTCAGCCAGGAGAAATTGATTCAACACTAATTCATTAAATTCAAAATGTTTTATAAAGAGTGGCTTTCAGACGCATTGGTGCCCGCTATTCCACACTCACGCACCCCACGCCTTGATTTCTCACGTGGATCACGTACACAGCACATGTCCCTGTTTTGAGTACAGAGGCAACCACACAAAGGTTTGTATTGTCAAATTACGTAATGTCAATACCGCTGACGCAATATCAATACCGCTGCATGCTTTTTATTCAAACGATTCAATTGACTAAGTTCACTTTGGATCAACTTAGCAATAGCGTGTTATTAGAAGGCGAATGCCGCTCAAAATCATCAAAGTTCGATAGCTGAAATGTTAGAAATGCACAGATAAGTGTATATGACATCAGGGCCTGATGTAAAAATAGAGATAGCGCGTATTCCTGGGTCAAAAGAATCAATTTGAGAAATATAAGAGGAATGCGCGAAACTGAAAATAGTTCATGACTCAGCACTTTTATGTCAACATCATCACATGACTTCTCAGAGGAAAGTATTGACGGAATTCAAGGCCAAAAGTCATTTTCAAGACTTTACGTAAAACAAGGCTTGCCTTTAGGATGTTAAAGATAACTTTAAATACTTCTATGCAAGGTCAAACTGCGCTTGGAAACCGCCTGACGCCCGGTAACTGCGGAGTACATACGATCTTAACTTGATGAAGACTTTTCAAGAATTGGATGCGAAGCCGGCCGCTGGACGGTCGAGGTTTTTAAAGTACAGTATGAGTATTATACATCTCTATATCACTATTTTCAAAAATAACTATTTTAATCTTACCAAATATTTACAGTTCCAGTTTATTTAAACAGAAAAAGTAGACCTACATGTACATATTCCTTGGTACAAAAAGTGAAAGAGCCTTTTCGAGCAATCTTTCCCCAGCTTTTAAACTATTTCTAGGTAAATCATTTATGTTGTTTAGAATTTATTAAATGTCCTGACATGTAGGCAAAGAAGGTCAACTTAGAGTGTGAATCAGATACAGTTTCGGACATAAAGATCATAAGCGTTCCACATCTCCACCCAACAAAACTAGTCAACACAGTCTTGAGATTTATAATTGGTCAACAACAGATACTTTTACTGCCATTCATCGAATAGAGATCAGATTTGCCTTCATTAAAAACAAAATGGGACATCCATAAAATGTAGGCTTAAATCTCTTTTCTTCCTCTCGACGTCTGAAAAGGTTTGCGTGTGCGACAAACTAGTAGGGGAGTCAAACTCCAAAAGCCTTCAAAAAAGGGTAGTAAAAAAATTTAATGATATAAAATTTTCGAACATATCGTTGAAGAGCCTGATATCTAGAGTTTAATCTTGTTTGAATCTGCTTATTGGACAAATGGGCTCCATTGCAAAAGTGCCCAAAAATCCAAGATGGCCGCCATCCATGGTGAATACACAGAATTAGCATCAGTTATGAAAATATTGATTAATATTATTTTTTTCTGAAGTGTAGATTACTTTTGTTGTGTATATATTGTGAAAATATGTACTTCCTGGTGATCTGTAACTAAAATATGTCAATTGGATTCAAAATGGTCGCTTCATCCAAGATGGCGGACAATATTTCACTAATTTTTGCAATTTAGTCATGTTTTCTTCAATCTAGAATTTCTTTTAGTCGTGATATAATCAAACAGTCATCACATATAGCTTTTCTATAATATTTCACACATTTCTGTTATCTGCATGCACTAAATTTTTGATTAAGAGAAAAATCCAATATGGCCGCCACACACCTCTGATCATTATGAGTCAGAAGCACAATGTATATCTTTTTGAAAGTAGAAATACCTTATTAAGTGAAATATATTTTATTTTCATTTTACAATATGCAGGTATAGGACAATTGCTTTAAATTGAAAGGTAAATTTGAGATGGTATCTTAACCCAAGATGGCTGCTTTATTCAAGATGGCGGCCAAAATTTGCCAATTTTTGCAGTTAAGTCATGTTTTATTTAATCTAGAATTACTTCCAATCATGACAGAAGTAACACATCATCAAATATACATTATGAACAGTATGACCTGTATTTTCCTCTCTCTGTACAGTATGAAGCTTTATGATTAGAAAAAAAAACAACATGGCCACCATGCACCCCCGACCATTATGGCCCAAAGGCGCGCACAGCATGCACCTTATTTGCAAGATCAAATATCTTCTTTAATGAAGTACATTTCATGCTTCGTTATTGGTAAAGGACAATTGTTTGTTTTTATAGGTAAAGCTAAGACCATGTCTTTTTTCAATATGACTTTTTATCCAAGATGGCTGCCATTATTTTACCAATTTTTGCAACTGAGGCACATGTTCTATAATCTAGAAATTATTTCAACCATGGTAAAAGCAATATATCAAGAAATATAGATTCTTTTAAATATTCCCTACGTTTTAATATCTGTAAAGAATATGATTAGACCTTTTTCATTAGAGAAAAATCCAATGTGGCTGCCATATACCCCTTACCATTACAAATTAAAGGTACCACATGTACTTTACTAATACTTGAAATCTCTTATTTAATGTAGTATATTTTCAGTTGGCAGTGACGTAGATTTTATTGATTTTATAAATTACTTGGAGATTTAAAACACAAAAGCCGTATGGTTTCAAATCGAGGCCCCACATATTGTTCGTTAGGTTAGGTAAAGGTAGCTGGAAACGAAACGAATAGACGTAAGTTAGAGTTTGAGATAGTTAAATGTCTTTTCATAAGTTGAAACTTTCATAGAAGCATTATTTTGTTCATAAAGGATAGATTTAAGGAGTAACTTCAGCTGATCATCATGATCAAACCTTGTGGAAGCGAGGAAGAATGTATTCAGGATTGTCTTATGACATAAAATATTATTGTCAGATATGACTTATCCCTACATCGTGAAGTATGTACTTCATTTTGGTTCATTAGGGAGTAACGTCATTGCTGTTTGAGAGAGTCTAATATTTTACCATGAATTCAACCCTTTATATAAGCAACAATGTTTCATTGTAAGCATTGTATTATTAGTTCAGTCATTCATAGAAGCAATGCATTTTTCACACTTATGTATTTATGATGTTCAATGTAAAATAACAATCATACAGTTCATTAATTGTTCTTCATTTCTGCATCTATTTGCTTAAAAATGCACATCTTGTATGAATAAAAGTAAACATCAAATGCAAAACATTGTTGACACTATGTTGAACAATTCAATAACAGGATGATCAATGGCCCTTTCCTTTCAGTTGATAACACTAATGTTAAAATATTTACATATTTTAATGATGCAATGCAACGTGTACATTGTTTGCATGAGCATATAAATTAAGTCACCAAAATTTGCGAAACCTTTTTAGTATATTTTTATCTACCTGTATATCTAGTGAAATGGTTGATTGAAGATTCATGACTGATACCCCAGCGGGCAAATTATGTTGTTTTAACGTTGAAACAACGTTGAACCATAACGTTGAGAAGATATTGGATAAACATTGGATTTGAAAGTTGTGTCAACCTCAGATAACAACGTTGTAAAACAACGTCAGAAAACAATGTTGTATCAACCCCATCCAGCGGGAAATTAAAACGTACACAAATTATAACGTACACTGTAAAAACATCCAAGTGCCTGCTTTGCCTGAAATTTTCAACGCATTTAGCTCCTAAGCATGTTTTGCACCCACGCATGGTACACCCTTTTAGCCTGGATGTGTTTAGCAGTAAGACATGTTTGACGGCTAAATTTATGTAGGGTATAAATGTATGGCCTTTAAGTTAAAATTTCTAGGGTTTAGATTAATATATATACGGCTGTTTCACAAAAATAAAAAGAATAACATCTTAACTATGATATCTACAATTTTTAGAGCACAATATTAATTACTTTTTGTGCTACGCTCAAATTAACAGAACGCCCCTTAGATTATGATCTGTGTACGGACACTACTCATTCAAGTAAAATATCATATTGTTTACCAGTTATTTTTGCCAAAATTCTAAAAAAATATCAAACTAAAGATATACAGGTAACAGCAGTACTTTAACCAAAAGTAAGAAGTACATGCATTAATGCTTCTCCTTAACTCTCTGTCAGTATGCCCTAATTTCTTTTCTTTACTTCTGTCTTTCTTGCTGAGCCAGCCTATGATGATTCTCCGTTTATTGCTTCACTTCTATGTTACGTGTATTCAACGTATAACGTCTTCCTAACGTGCTTCAGCATCTTTACGGATATTAGCTCTTTGACGGCTTTTTTTTTTCAAATCATTTTTTGGTGAAAGTAAAATTTTCAGGATCCCTTTTTCTTTTCCTATTTGGCTTTTTTTATTGTCATTTGATACTTCATTCACTGAGAGTATAATAAATGTACTGTTAATTATGCATGTATTGAAGTGTTTGTACCGCCTCAAAATACATCATATACATTAATCCATAGAATACAAATCCATATACTGTTTATTATTTTGCAATTAGCTGTTTTTGCAATATTTTCAAACTAATATTGTTCATTTTGAATGCAAATAGTAGCATCTTTACTGATATTATTTCTTTGCAAAATCTCTTACCTGACTCTAATTAATCAGTATCACTTTATCGAATATATATATATTTATATACAATGTTTTTTCTAAACATCACAAGACATGAATGCATTTTATATAGTCTAAAACAATATTTTGTACCATATTTTGATGTTTTATCATCATTGATAAGTAGCCAGTTATCCAATGGTTAATGTATAACTTGGGGGTACGGACACTACAGTGGGGGTACGGACACTACATTTGGCACCAAATTCTTGCATATCTATTCATAATAAGGGTTTATGTGCTATTTTCTTCCTGCAAAATAAATGTCAGTATAGACATTATAGAATAATAAAATCAGACAGAATATGCTGTGATTCCTAAATATAACAGATAGGGGGGTACGGACACTACAAAAAGTAGGAGACACAAAGGGGCTCATGATTATAAATACCACAGCATAAATAATAATGGTTACATATGCACAACTGCTTTATTGTGTTTACGTCATAACATGGTAAATTCATCTTATTATCACGTAGGTGATTTCAAAGTAATATTTGGCCTTATCAAATATGTTTTTCATTACATTAACAAAAATAAGTGAAATGTGTATCAAAGCCCGTTTCTGGAAAATGGTTAAAATATTTCTTTTTCTCAGAAAATATCTTTGGATGAACCTGCTAGAAGAGAAGACAGATATTGTGGGAATTATATACCAATATCATATTCACCATACATCACTGACATAAAGAGCTAGTGCATCATCTTTATGACCTTTATTGCAAATGACCCACCGTAACAGCTAAAAATAGGTGCTTTTTGAACACATAATTGGCTGTATTGTTGTAAATTGTAATCCGATTATTATGATTCTTTTTTTTTATATTTTGCTCCTCTGAACAGTGTCTTTGATATTAGTCTATCAGCAATCTCCAATCATAAATTGTTAATTTATCAGACACTTGTAACATTAACCACATTTAATTGTTCACCCTGATTGTGAAACAACCGATAGTTGTTTTCTTATATATATATATATATATATATATATATATATATATATATAACAAAGCCACAGTCACCTCAACCTGTCTATCTATAACAGGTTACAAAGAACTGTGAACTCCATCACATTTACAGCAACTTATTCATCCTAGTGTTAGCTGACCTTGCAAGGAATTTAGCTTATTGGAATGTCTTTCTGAATAACAAGTTAAGAAAATTCACTTGTTAACTAAAGACACAAAACAACTGTCACTTTTACTTTAAAACCCTTTTGTTATTATTTTGATAAATTTACTTACAGTATTGATAAACAAAGTATAACGTTTTCAATAATTAATATTTTAAATTACAATCCATAACTGCAAGGTTGTGTCATTGAGCAAAATACAACGTTGAGGCAACGTCACATTATGACGGTGTTTCGACGGGGCTGGATCAACGCTGATTTTACTTTGAATTTAGGTAGATCAACGGCAATTCAACGTATCAACCTGTTTTCAACGTTGATCCAACGCAACTATGCCTGCTGGGGGGATACGTGCTGTGTGCAATAATTGTGTATGGGTATGTACCCATAAGGCCGTAGATGCTGTTACTAAGCAGCTTGATAATTTATTTAGGAAAAGTCCACAATTTTAAGAATGCTCAACCTACAAGAGCTAAATTTCTTGTTGATAAAGGACAGCCATCTATTTCTGCATATCAGAATATCTGGGGGAAGTGCACCATACATACTTTTATATTTCTTGCAAACTTTTCTATTTTTCCTTTAAAAATATGTTTTCAGTATTGTTTGAGCTTCTGCTCACAATTCTGAATAAACTAAAAAGAATACATATCCTAGTTGTGTACAAGCGCTCAGGTTATCAACTTCAGATCAACAAATGAACACTGCACATTTGACTTTGTGCATATAATTTTTAAACTATTCCCGTCAGGCCAAGTGACGAAAGGTTTGGAGTGTACATACATGACATTGTTACATATGGCCAACATTTTTTAACGAGATGAGAAGGGCATTTTAAAGTCATATGCAATTAACAAGCATAGCAGAATTATTCATGGCTTCTACAGAGTTGTGATAAACATTTGGAATTGAGAACAAATAAAAATACTTGGCAGATTCTTTAAAAAAATTAAAAACACTTAAAGAGAATGATTAGGAAAACCAGTTAAATTCAGAACCCAATAATCATTTTCTCAAAACTCCTCTGACAAAGGAGAAGAACTGTCCAATGAAATAACCCCTATCATGCACTGGATTCCAGTCTCCTGATGCTCAGATCCTGTCTCCTTAGCTGGTCACAAAGATCGAGGATTATTTTCAATGCCTCTAGCGTGTGGCTTATAGCTGTCTTTCGTAACTGTTTTATTTCTAATTTTTTTTAATTTATTTATTTATTAATTTATTATTTGATAATGAATATTTACTTGCACCCAATCAGTGTGTCTTGGTGGGAAATTGCCTGATCAATTTCCTAGATGTAAATTAATAATAAAGAAAACAATAGTGAATTTTATTCATTTTGTAACTTAATTACAACATTGCAGTTGGAAAAAGTAGAAATTAACATTTTACAGAGGCAAGTGCAAATTAATTTCATGAGGTTATATGTCAATAAAATGACACCTGAGGTAGAATTTACCTGCAGAATAAAATTACTCTAAACATTACACCAAATCTAACACTAAGCCACTAACATCCAAATACACTTGATATAAGCAATTGATTTAATTAGACCAGGTCAGCTGTTTACAAATATAGCCTTGACATTAATCAATATGTATTATTATTTTATGAACTTTTGTCTTCAACAGCAGCTCGCACTCACTGTCTCTAAATTCAAAACAACAGCTTTAAAAAATGAATCCACATGCATGCATTTCACTGTATACGTGACAATATAAATTTGAATCAACTATATTTTTACATATTTCAAAATTGAGTACAAAGAAATACCCTCGTAGCATGATATTCAATGTAATTTAGTAATAAACAAAACTTCAGAACGTTGAAGCTGCTGTAAGTTCCCTTGCTTCTCATCTAAATTGCAGTGTCCATACATTGAAATAGTGTTTCTTGTCTTGGTCACTGCACAAGCAAGCACTGGGAGCCTGCGTTGTTTGACCAAATAGCACCACTGCGCCACTTGACGATAAGCCACATAACGATACTTTCTGAAAGAATATAATACAAAAAAACCTGTAAGTCGCATGCCAATGTATGCAAATAAAGTTATATATACATGCATTGTGTCCAAGGTGAATAAAAAACTATCTCGATGTTTACTCTTGGCACTTGTTGACCCTGTAGGGCTACCAGCTGCCAAGGTGTGGTTACCTGAATTGGGAACTTGATAGCCGGACTTTGTTTACAATTATGCATGTTTATGACAAGATTTGACAAAAAGTAGCATCAGGCACTTGTCCAATTGGACAAAAAGGTCAAATATTATACAAAATCAATTCAAGAATATTACATATTACTGATCTTCATATCTAAATTTCATTCATGAGCAAATATGTTCATTACCGTAGGTTGGTAGTTGGATCATAAAGTTAACGGAATGGAAGTATTTCGGCTTGTTTTTTATCTTTTTCTTTTATGAATGTTTTATGAATATGAATATTTATTTATGAAATTAACAATTACATGTCTTTAGGATAATTTATGCTTTTAATTAATTTTTATGTCCCCTTCTTTTTATTTACATTGTCCATTTAAATACCAATTTTTTCCTAACAACAATATCACATGCGTGTACTGCTTTTTAACAGCACTGCACATTTATCTAATTTCTGCACCCATATAATTTTAACAGTAGTTAAGTGTTACTATCTCGGACTGTTATGTGAACAAAGTTTGCTTTAGTGTAGTTTAATGTCTTGAATGTTCCCCTTTTCATAAATTGTCGGTAAGTTTGCTTAGCCTTCGTTTGAGGCCTCCATGTGTTTCAATCCTGCCAAAAACTAAGTCACGCAGATTTCGGCATGGTGCATGGTTTTAAATGTCAATTAAGATGACAGAATAATATAGAATAGTCAGTTCATGCTGATAGCATTATCATTTCAATAAATGAACAAATATACTCACTGGGCTTGATTTGGTACATATACATATACATATATATAAGACTAAACCTTGGAAATCCTAACTTAAAGGCCTTACATATATACCCTACATATATTTAGCCATCAAACATGTCCTACTGCTAAACACATCCAGGCTAAAAGGGTGTACCATGCGAAGGTGCAAAACATGCTCAGGAGCTAAATGCGTTGAAAAAATCAGACAAAACAGGCACTTGGATGTTTTTATAGTGCACGTTATAATTGTGTACCTGTGTTTTGTACCAAAAAGGTCATTTTAATGTCTTTTTATGCAAAAATGCTGTCTAAAAACTGGGGTTGATACAATGATGTTATCTGACGTTGATCCAACTTTCAAATCCAATGTTTATCCAACAACATATCAACGTTATGGTCCAACGTTGTTTCAACGTTAAAACAACATAATTTGCCCGCTGGGTACATTCCATTACACTTCTTTGCAAGGTCAGCTAACACTAGGATGAATAAGTCGTTGTAAATGTGATGGAGTGAAGTTAACAATGTTGACAGTTCACGGTACCCTGTTATAGATAGACAGGTTGAGGTGAATGTGACTGTAACAAACAGATAACAACCAGGAGCGTTCTCTCTGAGCACAACTGTACTTGTACTAATATCTCTCTTTTATTTAAAAAAAATGGGAACTAAAATCTCGGTACTGATATGTTTTGTTTCCTATTGGAATTTTGTACGGGTGAATGCTTATTCTCTTTAGCTTTCAATCTCTGAAATATTTGTGTAACAGATTGTTTCTAGTAATAAAAACACTCAATGTGGTACTGTGTAATAGAGGTATTTTATATCACTTGTAGAAAAGAAATAAAAATGAAGAGATCTGCACAACCGTTTTGGTCATTCACAAAGTACAGAATGAGTAAAGAGCGCGGCAAACGGCTATGATCCCGTGAAAGAAATATCAAATCAGAGTACATGATAAGTGCCCGCCAAAGAGAATGAAGGAAAGAAAGAAAGAAATTTGTTGGTGATCTATTCGTTTATTAAGTAATTAATGTTTTAATTAGTTAGTAGTTAACTAATTTACGATATAAGTACTGGCTTTCTTTCTAATATATATAAAATCTTGCCACTGGGACAGGAAGAGTTCAGAGGAAAATTTGTGAAGCAATCATTTTGTTATTAAATCGCTATTATTTTCATAATTTCAAGACTACCAGACAAACACGTCTAAGGCCTCAATTGTACTAAATCTGAAGTACTAGCTTAAGTTGGATATATCCATAATTATCTTAAGGTGTATATTGTTTCAAATTTCAGATATCTAGGTCCTCCAGCAGCAAAAATGTTGGTAATAGCTGGTGTCTAGCTTCACCTACCTTAATAGATATCCAGAACTAACAGACTGAAGGTATGTCATGTATGAACTGATATACAGGGTATTGCCTAAATTTCATTTTATGTAAACTTTAATTCTGTATAAATTTTAATTAGCTCATTAATTTGCCCAATGTACAATTTCTTTTTTTTTTTTACCAAACCAAATTCTGATCACAGACTATTGTGGTGCAATTAAAATAATTTTCATTTAAAGCGTTAATTTGAGAAATTTTAAAATAATGTTTTATTTGTATACCCCATCCACATTTTATCAGTCTAATCTTTTTTTTTTCAGATATTCTGCGTTTTGTCCAAAAGCACATTAAATCTGCATAAGGTAATAGAGATAATGCCTACTAAGCTTAAATGTACATTTAGTTTAAATGCCTGAAATACAAGTATGTGTAAATGTTCACATGCCTTTTGTCAAGTGAAAAGTACTGCTGTCATAAATACATTTTAATACATGTAATGTTTTTTTAATGTTTTCAGTTTGTCACCATCTAAGTAAGATGTATGATAAAATTGTTTTATTTTGGCAACAAAACCTATTTACACTACTGTGCCTGATCAGTTAATTGAGGATTATGGTAAATCAGGGGAGTATAAATTAACCTTTAAAGGAATTCAAGTAAAAGACATTACTTGAAGAGATTTAAGATTAAAACTTGTTTTGAATAAATTAGAAAATATAATATTCCTTAATGAAAGAGTACCAAGTGAAGTGTGGAATAACAAATTTTGGTATGTTCTCGGTCAGCAATAAGAGCAGTGCAGTGGAAAATTTTGCATGGAATTTATCCAACGCACGGGTTTTAGGATCGTATGTCCCCTGCGAATTTTGCGTGCAGTAGAATCCGTGGAGGTCGAAGAGGTAGAGGGAAGTCTGCCTTGCGAGTTGCAAGAGGCAAATGAGATGTTCTTTCAAGCAGAGACGCTAATTGCAAGGTGCAAAGGTCGTGGGAATTGTACTCATTTAAGCTTAGGTCCCAACCGAACGTTCGGGCTGCTACGTGTGGTCTACGGCCAAAAAAAGGGGGAAAACGTGGGAGTTCGTGCGTGAGGAGCACGTCTATCGTACGACTTTTGGTGGACGCAAACAGCACGTAGAAACTTTTTACCAATTATTTGATTCCTTCTCCGCGATCTAGCTACGTCCTAGCCGGACGCAAGGAACTGAAAGACCGTGCGTCCAAAACGAAGTTGGGACCTAGGCTTTATTGAGTTTGTCTTGCTACCTGCGTACGTGTCACGCACTCACCACTATTGAAGAGAAAGCAACGCACGGCGAAAGTAGTTCCCTTTTGCTTCACACTTGCCTCACACACTTGTGGTGACGTACGCGGTTAGTACGTCAGTTTTGCCTACTGTTCTCTTTTTTCTTCTTCTTTCTCCTTCTTTTCTGCTGTCTAAGCTTATTTCCTTGCCTTTTGGAAGCATATTAGAAGCTGAATTAAGCAAAATTCGAAATTTTTGAAAATTGTTGTACAGGTTGCACTATCGTCGTTAATTTTCGAGACAAGAGCGTGCGTCGTGAGTACACCTTTTATACTCCTGCCGTAGGGGTGACGCACGTGCGACACGGCCTGACTGTTCGCAGATTATTCGTAGAATCTTTTGGACATGTCCAACATCATCCGTACGTGCATACGGGCTGTAGCCTAGGTCCCAACCAAACGTGCAGGCTGCTATGTATGGGGAAAACGTGGGAGTTCGTGCGTGAGGAGCACGTCCATCGTGCGACTTTTGAAGGACGCAAACAGCACGTAGAAAATTTCGACATGATCAACAGCCGCTACGTGCGATCTAGCTACGTCCTAGCCGGACGCAAGGAACCTAAAAACCTAGGCTTGTCTGCGAACTCCAAATTTCGCAAGAGGGACTTGCGTTGCACGTGAGATTCTGCGCAAACTTTGCACGCAAACAGGCCGTAAGAGCTCGTGCGGCCGGTGTGAAGGGAATGGATGTACGCCCTAATGCATGTCCGTAGGACATGTATTCCAAGGAATGAGTGTCCAGCGGACATTAAGTCCTGGGAATGCATGTCCTGGGCCCTCCGTTCCTAGGAATACATGTCCGAGGAGATAATTTCCTGGGACTGAAAGTCCTCCGGACAACTGTTACTTAGTAATTTTCATCCTACAGACAGGCATCGGTGTCCTAGTCGGACATGTTTTCCCAAGTTAACTAGGAATTGATGTCCCCTGATGTTGCTTTGTGTTTCTATTGTTGTTGAAAAAAATGAAATTTATTAGGTTTAGAATGAGATTATGTTATTTTCAATTACATATAGACAGATTTCATTCGGTTAAATTTCTTTTTTAAAAACAAAGTGAGAAAAACGATATCGGACCCACCTAAATTAACTAAATGAAAGAGAAAATAAAGAATCAACAATAACATAATAATGTTTAAAATTTTATTTTATTACTTGTGTTATCTTTATTTTCTTCAATCGATTCATATCATTCTATATGTAATTTCAAATTGGCCCCGTTTACTGCTCCTTTCAAGATATCACTCTCCACAGTCCTCAACATATAAGCTTTGTTTTTTGTTTGTCCTCCCACCACGTATGGACCCAGCCATGGATCTTTGTTTTTGTCCCCTTTGCGGTCCGATCTTCTCTTGTTCTTTTTTAACACTTTGGTGCCCACAGGGATTGCCTGTAATGAGAAGGACATCTACATGCATTTTTATCCATAGGCAGTTTACCATTTAATGAAAAATATACAGAATAAATACATTAATATCTCATGACCTCTAAAAACGTACGAGTTACAAATTAACACGAAGCTGATTTTTGAAATGTCAAAAAGTTACTAAAAAAACTAAAATGAAAGTGAAAGGTTTATTGTCTGTGGTTTACTTACATCCTGGATGATATGCCTTCTGTCATAATCTCGTTTTTGTCTCTCTTGTGCTATGTTTTCAAGAATGACCTGCCCTGCTTTGGACATAGCGTCAGATCTTTTCTCTATGGCTTTTTTGGACGTCATGTGGGTTCACTTCTTCGTGTTCTTCATCTGATCCACTCCCTGTACAGTCGACATCCTGCAGAAGCACATGCTCTTTGGTAAAGAAACATTAATAACTTTAGAGGTAACGTATCATATTTTTCACCATCTCGCTAAAATTCAGCTGCAGTGAGTATTGAATTTCATTGTAGGCCTAAATATTCAGACCCGTAGCCCCGGGGGGGGGGGGGGTTCGGGAGGCTCAAAGGAACCCCCCTTTTTGCTGGGAAAAGGTCCACTGTGGGTAAATTTGATCTAGATAAACTAAGGATTCATGACGAAAGTTCTACATTTTCAGAAAAAGAACCCCCCTTTTGCAATTGCTGCCTACGGACCTGATATTAATGCATTTGATCACATGATGAATCAACATTTATATAAGAAAACAATTTGATATACTTAAGATCCCCAAACCATGTTACATACCTACCATACATTGCAAAGAAAGGTGAGAATTTAGTGGTGCTCTGCCTTGCTGTGTTATAGGCGAAGACCACTTGCTTTAGAAGCACATCCCACTGAGCCTCGTCTTTCAATTTCATAAGCATCTTCTCCAATGTTTGGTTGAATCTTTCTGAAATAATATAAAGTTTTATTGTCATCATTTTCTTCGCACATTAAAGAAAAATTGACTTATGTTAATCAAGAAATCAAAACTTTTTACCTGTTAGTTCATTGCACTGGGAGTGATATGCACTACCCTGTAGTTCTGCGATGGCTAATTTTCAGTGAGTTTGTTATCTCTTCTACAAGGGCGTTATTAAATTCCCTTCCTTGGCACTTATCAGCTTCTTTGGGAAACCAAAACTGATAAAACAAGTAAAATATCAGTTATATAATTAATCAATTAAATACAACGTTGCGTATAAGCATTGATTTTAACAATGTTTTAAATATCCCCTTTTCATCCATATTTTTTTCAATATTTCATAGCTTACTTTAATTTTAAACAGTGGTTTCTATGTAAGATCTCATTACCACATAAAAAGATCTAGTAGGAAGGACGCCATTCCTGTGGCCTCTTTCGATGGCAAGGCCCTTGCTTGCGCCCATTTGCTGTAGTAGCATGTCACCGTGCATATGTATTTATTACCACTGCTGGAAGTTGGTAGCGGCCCTACAAGATCTATTCCTATCTGTAAAATAAGTTTAAATATTATTTTCCTGGTAAAACAATATCCGCATTTCATATACCTAAATAAAACTTTATATTTTAATGCATTGTTTATTTTACATTAAATTGCGGTAGGAATAAATATTTACTGAATGCCAGGGCACAGCGTCTTGGACTGGGATGGGATGTAGCTCTGGGGCTACAAGGTTGGCCTTCTTATTCACTCTTTGGCATCTCTCGCAAGCCTCAATGTAGGACCTAACGTCCCCCAACACATTTGGCCACCAAAACCGTTTGCCTATTTTATGTAAAGTTTTATCTCTGCCGTGATGTCCGCCTACAATATAAATAAGTAAACTTAAAACAAATTAAGAAAAATGCCATAAAATATGAAGATAAACTATAAGGTAAGGTACGTGATTCTTTGAAATAAGTACTTGCCCATTGGAGAAGCATGTAGCTCCTCAAGCACCTGACGAATTTCCCTTCCTGTCATCAGTACTTTCTTCCAGGGGTTGGAAGTCTCCGACGTGCTACATGTAGCTTCATTGGCACTTTCTTGGACATCTTTCTTGTCTACTTTGTCCTTTTTATAATACAGTATATTTTTCTCTAACCGTAAATACAAAATTTATAACTAATTTTACATACTCTGTGTTATATGGAAAAAAAACGAATATGCAAGTATACTAAAGTATATGTATACTCATAGTCACCTTAAATTTAGCTGTGCAGTTCTCCTCAGAGATCTTTTTTCTTGCCTCTGACAAGCCAGGGGAAAATTTTCCTTGCAAGTACCTCACAATGTCAGCGGGATTTGCCCTTGCCCTTGTCTTCCCCATTCTTAATATTGTCAGGTGAAAGTAGAAAGCATGTGCTCTTCTTATATATAGTAGAGGCTCCACTGCACATCCAATCAGAAGTAGCCACGGCCTTATATAGACTCTCTTGATGACTTTTCTACAACATTGTCCAATCATAACTCATAGATAATCTTTAAAATTATTATTTTCTTGCATAAAAATATTAAAATGAAAGCTATGTGATTTTTTCCTCGCCAAAATAGTGTGCCATAAACAAGCCTATATATATTTTTTTTTGTAAAAAAATAAATAAAAATAAAAAAGACGTTAAAAGTATTTAAAAGCTTTGCAGAAAGTAGGACCTCCGTTCCTGGGGGACAAGCATTCCTTTCACACCGGTTGTGACCGAGGCTTTACTTGATTTCTTGCCCGCGATCTAGCTACGGCCCGGCCAGATGAGAGGAACCTAAAAAACGTACGTCCTGAAAATCGTTCGTGGAGTTGGGACCCAGGCTTAAATCAGTCTTGGTACGTCTCTTTCCAGCTTCTTTCATGGTTTCAGTGAGTTGGACTATGACACGTGTCTTTATATACCCTCCAAAAGACACGCGTAACCAAAGTCACGAGTTACTAAACTGACGTGTCAAAAACCAAATAAATGACCTCGATCTTTACCAAAGGTATATAAAGCAAAAAGGAATAAATAAATAAATAAATAAATAAAAATAATCAATAAAGTGCGAACTACAGATGAGAGGGTGGGGGAGTGGGGCGAGGTGGGATCCGGACCTTTGGACGTAGTGGTAGCCTCCATGTACACTTACCTTACATGTTGGCACGCTAACCACTACACAGACGAGCGGAATTCCCAAACCGATTATGTTTTGTATTATATGTGGCTCACCAGAAGGATTTCCATATACATTTATAATTGTATCATTTAACCATATTATTGCATAAGGATAGGACTTTCAAATGGCCGGACTTACATTACTGATGTAGTGCACTGAATTTTGGTATTTCTACAAAGTAATATTATCTGCTGAAGTCTACCTGGACACCTGAAGTAAGCAACTCTAACACAAGCTAACAATAACTAACCACTGCACTACCTGTGCAGTTCTTTATTATAGAACCAGTTATGCAAATGACCCAATGCTACAAGTCCAATAAATATAATTGGCTAGTTTACTACTGCATAACCACTGCAATGCAACACTTTACCATAATTGTTTGAGATGTTATCACATTGCCATTATGTAAGTTCTACACTGACATAGGTGTAAGAGGACTAAAAGCCGGCCAGTAATACAAGTCCTACCTACCATACGTATAATTATGAACTTAAGCCTCGGAAGGACTATAATTCTCAAGTAACGGTAGTTCAACTGACAACCACTACCAGAGGGGGACTTGGATTACTGTTACACCGATAAGAAAACCGCTGCCTGGAGACTGCTGTCGTTGAGGGCTACCGGGTGCGCCGCAGAGATGAAGGCCGGTGAAAGAACCGATGCCTGGATACCGCTGTCGTCGTGGGCTGCCGAGAACGGTGCTGAGATGAGGGCCAGTGAGAAAACCCTTGTTGAGAGAACGCTGTCATTATGGGCTGCTGGTTGCACCCCTGAGATGAGAAATGGTGAGAGAACGGCTGCCAGGGACAGCTGTCATCAATGGCATACCAATGTCAGACAGAGACCGAGGGTGCCAAACTTCCTGGGAAACATCATGTAGCGTTGTGTGATGTCCTTTGCTGCAATTCTTGCTGCTGCTGTGCGGCGCCCAGGGGAGGTACATTCAGATGCAACATGTCCTGGTCGTAGACAATTCCTGCA